CTTTGTAGTACCATCTCCCCGAACTGCTGCCGTTTGTCTCCCACACAGCTTTAAAGATCCTGGATTCAGCTCTCGCCTGCAGGGTGCTGCGCCGCCCGCCAGCCATGGAGCTCTCGCTCTGCCTCATCACTTTGGTCAGCAGGTCGCGGGTGTTTTCAGGCTGCTCTGCAGGATATCGTCTTTTCTTATTTGCTGGGTCTCGGTTCTCCTTCTCTTCCTCCTCCTCATCATCCTCTTCCTCATCATTAGCATCTTGGTAGCTTTCAATGAGATGGGGGCGGGACAAAGCTTCTGATTGGATAACCTTTCACCTGTCAAATCAAGTTTGATGAAAGCCGGTATCTATACTGTGTGTTCCGCCCATAATTCTATGGCAATATTTTCTGATGGAAATGTAGATTTTTGATAAACTTGGTTTGCCATTGGCTCGCTCAGCCCAATGACTTAAACACTTTAATTTCTTCAATTATTCATCTCAAAAATCTTTATTTCAACTAAAGCATTTTGTAAAAGGTTCCACTGAGAGTCCATTAATGATCATGTGCTACTGAAAATAGCCCAAATTACTGTAGGATACACCAACTGCACATTAATAATTTATTTTTAGGAAAACGTCTTCCTGATGAGCATACAGTCTTAAAACACATAGAATGCATACTCAAAAGGACATTAGTTTAAATTTACATTTTAATCTAAACCCATGATGAGCTGACTGCAGCCTGTGACGCGCTGTGACTTCACACGGAGGCTGGAGGAGGACGCCGCCGCTCCGCGCAACTCTCTGACCGACTCCTCTCGTTCTCTTAGCGGGCGTCCGCCAACAGAAACCCGGAGCGATGGAGCGAGCGGGCGCGTACGGCGCCAGGAAGGCCGGGAGCGCCGGGAGCATCGCCTTCGATCCTGTCGCTTTCTTCACGCATCCCCGGACCATCCTCAGACTGCTGTCTTGGGTAAGCTCTCCTGTGCAATCTGTGAGCCATCATCAATGAAGGAGCCTATCTGCACCTCCTCTCTCTCTCTCCCGTCTTGATCCATTCACATTCTTTATGTCTCTCTGCCTCTTTCTGCTGATGTGTCTTTTGTCTAGACAGGTTAGAATCAATGTAAATCCACATTTTCATAAAGATGGCTTATCCTTGAGTAAAAGCTCTACTGTGTTGTGTATTTCACGAACGTGTTGCAGCTTTTTCTAAAATCTAAAATCATTTTCTGTGATGCAGTTTCCAGTGTCATGATTACCGTATGTTTATTTAGAGCCTCTTTGTGTCTAGACTGAACAAATGGGAAAGCTTTGGGTTACAGAATGTATCACCTCCCTGCTGTCTCTCTGGCGCGATCTTGTGCAGCTGTGAGTCACCATACATCATTTATTGTGCACTGAAGGAGCAATCTGATTTTAAAGGAGGCATGGCACTTTAACAGAAGCGTATAAGCTTAATTCACTTTCATTCAACATAATTTGTCACAAGCAATTTGCCAGTGCTTCTTGATATAAAGCACATGTAACCCTAAAACAAAATACTGCAATAAAAACAAACTCAAGTCATAAGGAAGCATTAAAGATAAGAAAAACAAATAGATATTCTTCAATAATTTGGTCTTTATAGTGTGGCCATAGCCCATCAGACTGTTTGCTTCGTCTACCCAATCATCCAAAACTCAAAGATTTTAAATTTACTATCTTATAAGACAAAGACAAGCAGCAAAATGCTCTCATCTGGGGCACAGGAACCTGGTTATCTTTTGCTTGAATAATGGCTAAACAGAATAATTGCTCAGTTCTAATCAGGAAAGCTACGACTGATGTTTTCAAAATTATTTTGCAAACTGTTGACATATTGTGCAAGTACAAAAATCAAATTCTATGTTTTCACAATTATTTTGGAAACTGTTGACATATTGTGCAAGTACAATCTGGTGAATGTCTTACATTTGCTTACATGTTCAGTAAGGACAAGCAACAAAATATTTTAAAGGATCAGTTCACAGAAAGTGCAAAACACTTGTTTTCTAATGGTCTTTCAGATGGCCTGGGTCTTTTTTGCTAGGATACTGAGACCTCAGTCAAGAAAATCAAGCAAATACAGTTGACCCAGAGACATTTTATGGCATGCACAATGAAATGTTTATGGCAGCTCCTACATCTTGAAGTCATGTCTTGTATACATTCCCCACATCAAAATATATTCTTAATACATTTAAATGTGCCATATGAAGTTTTTTTAATAAACAAATAAATGTTATGTTTACATTCAGTGTTCCTCAGTAAAACAGACTGTGTCCTGAATGCATTTGCCTCTTCAAAAAACAGCAGATTTTTTTTTTTTTACTATTTTAAATTACTAAAATTACTAAAATACTAATAATTTAGGACAACTAACCCTTTAATGCTATGACATGATTATTGAAGAGTCTATATCTTTGTTTCTGCATCTCATCCATACTCACTTGAATAGAAGCAGTGTGTGTGTGCAGGTGTGTCTGTGTGTGGCTTGTATGAGGAATGAAAGGCATTCACACACCAGTGTGACTTCATTCTCTTTTATATGTTAGGTAATAAACCAGCCCACGTGTCTCTTCTGCAGGTTTTTTCCATCGTGGTGTTCAGCTGCATTGTGAACGAGGGCTACATCAACATTGGCAGCGAGCGTTTGCGTTGCGTCTTCAACAACAACGCTGATGCCTGTAACTATGGTGTTACTGTTGGTGTGGCCTGTTTCCTGGGCAGCATTTGTTTTCTGATCCTGGATGTTTACTTCCCCAGCATCAGCAGCATCAGGGACAGAAGACGTGCTGTCCTGTTAGACCTCATCTTCTCTGGTATAAATAAACACAAACATCATGGCCTGTAGCTTAATATCTAATAATATGTAATAAAATTTATATGGCAATTTTCAAATTTCATGTTATAAATATAATGAGACATGAAACTAGACCCATATCAGTCCTCAGAGTAAACTTAGAGAGCCAATTAGCTTAGCTTAGCATAAAGACTGGAAACAGCTAGCCTGGGTCTGTCCAGCAGTATCAAAAGACACCTAATGGCACCTCTTAAGCTCACAGCATCTCCTTTCTTTAAAGAGATGGAAACTGAAATGTAAAAGTGACACATTATGGTTATACAATGAATGCAATGAATGACGACATGACAGGTTTATCTGATGTTTAGCTGCAATATGTGTTTAGTGCTAGTTAGAAAATGTTAGCATGCTAAAGATGGTTAAAGTTACACCAGCTGATCATCAGTAAGTTAACATTGCCACTGTGAGCATCTTAGCATGCTGATAGCATTAGTCTCAGAACTGCTAGCATGGCTACAGACTTTACTTCTTTTCATGTAATTTTCATACAGAACAATTGAGGGTTAAAACTCAGAATTCTGTGAAAAAGTCAGAATTATGTTTAAAGACAGAATTCTGAGATTAAGTGAGAACTCTAATACTCTACTTTTTTTTTTTACAGTTGCCCTAAAATCTTTCCAGTATCATTAACAGTAACAACAACTGACCTGAAGCATGTTACTTAAAAGACAAAATTATTTGAAAATGTTTTTAAATTATAATAATAAACCAACCAAATTAGGTTAAAAAAAATCAAGCAACTTCTGTAAAAATATCAGATAAAATCCCACCAATTAAAGTATGTTTAAAGAAGGCATTTAAAAGATAATTACCTTTTACAACCTAAAGTTGGAACGACTGACTCATCTTCATCCCTCCTCCTCTTCAGGTCTGGCCAGCTTCCTGTGGTTTGTTGGCTTCTGTTTTCTGGCCAATCAGTGGCAGGCGACCTCGCCAGATGAACTGCCATTGGCCCAGGGCTCAGATGCTGCCAGAGCCACCATCGCTTTCTGCTTCTTCTCCATCCTTAGCTGGGTCTGTATGGTGATACCTGTTTATAGAGTTTGTCTTTTGTCTGTTTGTGTATGTGTGTGTCTGTCTTCACTGTCATCTCAGAGTCTAACCAGCAGTGCCTCTCTGTGTGTGTGTGTGTGTGTGTGTGTGTTGAATTTTCAGGGTTATCAGAGTCTACTGGCAATGAACAGATTTAAGAGCATTTCCTTCACCGAGCATAAACAGGGGCTGCTGCCTAGGACCCCTCCCACCCTCTCTCTAGTTGTCTAACACAAACTCTCACACATGTATATTACTGGTTGGTTTAGGTCATACCTGAAATTTGTCATATTGTCAGTTAGTACAGGGTCTAATAAGACTCAAAACAAGCTGACACGATAAGCCACTGCTAACCTTGTCCCTGCCATCACATCCTGTTTCCTAGCAATAAGATAAACCACAGATGCCTGGTTGCTACAAACTGGATAAAATGTCCAAAGCTCACATTAGCTGAATATTGAATAAATCTGGCAATCCAGTAAAATGCTTCTTTTACTGCTAATAACACACAAAGCACTAATATTACACAAAGTGTGAATTACTCCCAAATTAAAATAATATAAATGGAATACAAAACTAAAATTTTGACCATGTTCGCTAATCTTACTAAAACAGTTTTTACCTTTAGCTTTAAAGCTACCTACTAGCACATCCAGAAGGAAAAAGACCACATGTGAATCAAATTTGAGAAATTCAGCTGCTTTTAACACTCGCCATCTCAAGAAGCGAAGCCGATGTTAACCCTTGTTTTTGCTCTTTCTTTGTCCCACTCTCTCTGTGACCTCTTCTGTCTGGCAGCCACTGTTTCAGACCTTTAGCTGATGAGAGCTCCTCCATGGCTTGGCTGTTTGAAATGACTTGTGGCTCGAAAAATGTTTCTTATAACCTGCGCTAGGTGACAGGTGGGGATAATTTATGGACAGTACTTTGAAACAGTTCAGAGAAGCCTGAATAACACAAGTTCTGCAGAGAACACAGTGTCATGGAGGGGGGTAGTATAGTGGAGAGGCACCACTTCCTATCCCACCTGATTTAGGCTATTAGACAATCAGGTAATTCAGTGTTTGCATCAGGCAAAACTCTTCATATGGGTAAAACAAAACAAGGCGCCCAGTCACTTGAATGAAAATCACTCATGTGATGCATTAGCCAAAAAGATTTTCTAGTTTCTGGGTCTGCTTCTCCATTGTACAGGCATATTGGTGTTTCCCCTCACTTGCACATGCCTGCTCAGCCTGTAGACTTTTCATTGGGATGATGTCACAAAAATAAAACTCTGTTTTCTAGGCTCTGGGATTTTTTTTTTAAATTTGAAACATGAAATTTAAAAAAATCATATTACAAAGAATGATAACTGACCTAGTTTGCAGTTTGAGGTGTTATGTCAAAGGTTTGTGGGTCTATGGAGGAATTTGGTCCGCAGGATGATTTCTCTTTGCAGTACAATAAGTGGCCAGTGGGAAAAATTGGCTGAATGACTGAGTGGCAGTGCTGTATCCAGTCCTCATAAAACACCTGTGGCTATTTTGTCAAATCACTAAGAGGGTTTCAGGTAAATTTTGCTCCAGTTTCATAAAGTTAATGCAAATGAGGTTTTTCACATACAGTGTTCAGTTCTGAATTGCCTGAAATCCCACAATGCAAACTGATTTGCATGTGTGACTGGGGGCATACTTCATGTCCACCTCTTTCAGTGGGTGTTTACTGTTAGCCTTGTGAAAAAGTGCTATAACAGTAATCACTTTTCTAATTCAAATTAGTGTGTAACTAACAGCCTCTGCTATCGTGTGTTTGTGTTACTAACAGGTTGTACTGACACTGAGTGCACTGCGACGCTTCTTAACTGGCAGCAACACAAATTTATTCACATGGCAACACCTGGACCATGTGCCCAGCAACGTTCGAGCTACACCGTACCCCATTGCCAACGGCACTACCATAGTGACCACAAACCCCTATCAAGCCCCACCCTTCACTGAAACCCTGGACCCCCAGAAACTCACACAGCAGAGACCCATGGCTCCAGCCTTCTAGAAACAGAAAGAAAGAAAGAAAGAGGAGGCGTGGACAACTTCCTGCCTTGCTTTGTAGTGGCTTTCCACCCTTTCCTGGGACTGGTTGGATTTTGGGTCATGTTATGTATGATCTATTTTCACCATGGCAACTGCTGGCTCAAATTTCAGTAGTTAGTTGTAACTGTTTGTGTCAAGAATACTGTCTTATGTTCATGCACACACACAGATATTGACGCACGCAAACACAGCTCTGTTCACTCACACCTGGAAACATGTATATTCAACTGAAATACACAGACACACACACCTTGACTGCATGTTCATATGGTGAGGTGCAACATAAATGCACACCAGTGTTGACGTTCCATCTGCCTTACGGAGGGATACAAGGTGTTTACTGAAGGAAATATGGAGTACAGTGAAGATATATGGCTCCTTTAACTGCTTCTGTTTGCCCTCAGTCAGTCTGACCAATCAGAAGCTGCCCTGCAGACTTGCAGAACCTTCAGAAATAGAGTAGGTACAGTATGTTTTCCTGACAGGGAAAATAAAAGCAGGAAAGCTTAATGCATTCTGAATTTTATAGTGTTTCAGCATAAAAATTCATGTCATTAAATATTTTATTGTAATATGCTGAAATGGTTTAATGAAATATGAGAAATAAAATCTATCCACCATCGCTGCCAGAACTGTGAGTCTGCCTTTTGTTGGCATCATCTTTAAATAATTTCCTCTTTGCTTTTTCCAATGTGAGAAGTTCTTTGTAATATAATTATGTATTTAGACCAAGACCCAAGGATGTGTTAGGCATATTAATCAACATCTGCAAAAAGACCATCATTAGATGGGGTACTCAAGTTGTGTTGAATTCATTATCTGCAGCAGGCAGCAGCTGTGTTAGCTATATTTTTGGGTTTAACGGCTCATGTTGAAGGACTGAAACCCCTCCTACTGTGAGGTTTTTTAAGTTCTCTATAGATTAGGGGAGAAGTAAGGTTATGGAGTCAAATGAAAGTCAGACAGGAAGTGGTTTTATTCCAACACTGTCCAATCATGTTACTGCGGCTGAGCTTACTGTATATTGTTCACTGCTTCCAAGCATCTGCAGGAACATTATTCAGCATTATGAACATTTGCATCATCTAGAGTCATCATTATCATCATCATTACTATAATCAGCCTCCTGTAACACAGGCATCCTCATCATCCATCAGCACCAGCACATTTACTGACATTCAAAAAATGTAGAAATTCACCTTAGTTATCCTATCGTTGCTGCTGTATTAATAAAATATAATCTTAGGCTTTTCCTACAAAGTCTTCCATGCTATTATATCACTTAAATAAGCCCTTCTGTACATCTGCTTCTGTCTACATTATCATCCCACACTCATTATACGGCATAATCTCGGGCCAGCTCCAGCTTCAGGCAGCAGGGGGCAATGTGAATCTGCAGACATCTGATCACATGCTTCACACTCACCTGCTTCTGAACTACCTCTACCCTGAGAATACTAAGACGGAGAAAAGGAAAGTGGCTGGGAGTGAGAAAACTAAGATGACAGGACATTCCAATGTGTGGGATCGAGATAAAGCGAGGTAGAAACTACAAAAGCCTAGGTCACACTACATGATTCTACCTTAAAGGCTTTAAGTGTGAATTGATTTTTCTGGCTGTCAAGGGTTGGGTGCATTCAGGCGTGGGAGGAAAATCTCTGGCCAATCAACAAGATAACAAAGTTTTCTCAACCTCTGATCTGAGAATGATCAAGCAACATTCAGTGACAGTTTACTGTAGGTCGAAAGCATAGAAGTCATATTTAACAGCAAAAACTCCGACTTGGTTAAATATATTATTCCCATTTGCTCCACTTTGAACAAGCTGCTGCACAAATTGCTGTTTTTGGAGAAATATATTTTATAAAATGGCAT